TCGCATTAAGAATTTACAGTTTTTAACAGTTTTAACAAATACAATTATAGAGAATTTAAAATGACACTAACAGTTATTGCCAAACTGGCTTAGTGGCGAAATGAACACGATGTTCACACTTAGAATACCACAAATGAAGAGTGTAAACATTCTAAGTGTCTTTTCACTTGGCATAATATAAAACATTTGATGGCCAACTAAGATATAAATACATGAGGTATTAGGGAGTGACAATTCATACCGTGTTAGACTCTGATTTAAACAATAACACACGTCTTTACCTGGCATTATTAAGAGGATCCAAACGAGATAAAACAAATACAATCTATTAACAACGATTGTAATATGTATAACAACAATAGTAAATTAATTATGACAATGTTTATATAATACAAATTTAGCTTGATAACGACATAACCTTAACATCGACAAATTGATAATGCAGATTGCAAAAAATATATATCGTGATGAGGACGATTTACTATCTTAACAACGATGATTTTAACTTGATTACAACCAATTTACTTGAACGATATCAAGATTATCTCAATAACAACAATAATCATTGTAACATGTAACACCATGTTACCTTAGTAACTATGATTTTTCTTCGACAAATACGATTTTGATCGTTACGTTATTTTTTTTTATAGCGTACTTTTTTCTTGATAACGTAATTGTTCCTTTATAACGTCTATTCAAATCTAATAACAAAAATTTAACAGTGGTAACGACAATACTAATATCGTATTTTCAGTAAACCAACGGACTATATTAAAAGACAACTTCAAATAGATTAATGATGGCGTTTTATTTTATGGAATGAACGCCCTTTAACATGGTGAAGGACTAAGAAAAACCGACTGAGTCGTAAACTGATAGTACTGGTATTACTATTGGTTAAACATTGGCTAGCGAATATGTTTACAAAGTGCATAATTGTTTTTCACACATAATTGGGATTTCTAGACATAAACTCTAATAATTTTTCTTTATGTTCTTTTCAAGAAAACATTGAATGTTTCAATCCGACGTGAACTGAATTTATCTGCCTTTTTACATAAATCAGGTGTATGTTTCCCTAATTAAACATCTGAACTTTCACCTAGTTGTACCTCTATTTGCTGACCTTTTCTGTTAAACAGTCACGTATCGTCAGCGGTTTATCAGAACAGAGTGTATCATATAATAAACCGTATACCATACATGCTTCATTAGATACAAGTTGATTTTATTTTAAAAGATTTAAGACAAAACTGTAAAATCAAACATAACAACATTGTCATCAACAGAAATGTATAGGGCTGAATGACATCCTTAATTATTTTTGTTTGGATAACTTAGGTAATAACATGAAGGGTACCAATGTTTCTGCACCAAATGCGAATTCTGCAAACGATGTCTCTTGAAGATGCTCGAGACCATTTTGTTTTTTCAAATCCTAAGTTTATTAAAAGGATGAAGAGCTATCAACCAAAAAAAGACAAAAAAAAGGATAGCCAATGCTAAGCAAAGAATCAGAGCTTTGCATACGGGAAATACTCTCCAATATTTTGATTCTATTTTTAATGATTTTATTGATTTTGTAACAGCAAATTTTAATAACACAAATTGAATATGCTTCTGCCAACACCAAAGTACTGGTTACTGGCCACATGATGATTATACCATCGGGGACTATTAGTCTACCATCAAAGACATCAACCCAGTGGTAGTAATAACATAAACGGTACTAATGTTTCTGCACCAAATGTGCATTTCGACAATCAATGTCTCTTTAGAGAAAATTCAAATCTTATATATACTTTTTTCTTCATTCTAATCATTTAGAACAGGCTTTCTTTCACACTAAATTTGAAATGATAGGGATCAACATAATTAACACATCTCTGTATCTTTGTCAAGATTAAATTAATAATCTACCTAAGATTTATTTACTTCAATAGACAATCTACACACTCCGGTAAAAAAAATGAATTCAAATATCTCATTCTAGTTTAGTGAAGGACTACTAAAATACAGCGCTAAGTAAAATGTATCAGTTGCCGTGTTAGTCGTTAACGCACTGAATTTACTAAGACATCTTGCTGAGACATAAACTAAAATAACTATTAGTTGAACCCTGTCTATCGGTCATGTTTACCAAATGCAGATTTGTTTTCACACATAATTTGGACTGCTAGAATATAAAAAAAAAATATATAAACTTTTAGCTATTTTTCTTTTCAAGGAAATATTTATTTAATTAGCAGGTAATAATGCCATCATATTTTATGCATAATAGATTATATATCAAACATTCCGGTACTATTGAGCGGTATAACCGACTCCACCTAGCGACCAATTTCTATCGACCATTTAAGCTAGCAAACAATTCGAGCCGACACTGAACATCACACTTAGAACAAAAAAGCTAAGAACTCCGGACAACAGTATGATGGATAACAACGTTCTATAAAAAAGCATTCTAGCTACATGCACCACTACACATTTTATCAGTTTAAACAACTAATTGACCAGAGATGTAAAAATAAAAAAAAAAAACCTGAAGTTTCCTAGTTCAAAGTTTACTGGTATTAAACAGTTAGCTCAATGTGCAAGACGACGAACGAAAGAACTAAGCGATGACACATATGGTCCAAAAAATGATTACAAGTAAAATAGCAAAAAATACTGAAAGTCCCTAATCAAATGGCAAAATCAAAAGCTCAAACACATCAAACAAATGGATAACAACTGTCATATTCCTGACTTAGTATAGACATTTTCTTATGTAGATTATGGTGGAATAACCCTTGTTTTATAGCTAGCTAAACCTCTTACAAATCCTTTTACATTGACACTAATGTGTGAACAAAGGAAACAGACATAATATTGATATTCACCCCACATGTATCAAGTTTTAGAACAGTTTTATTGATATACAAGACATTTCTTGGTAATCCTAAACGGAAGTTTATACAGAAAGAAGAAGAAGTCTTCTAAAGATCAAAATTATTCCAATTTACCTGTGTATAATATAAAGTTGATGTTTTTCTGAAATTGTTTAGCATCTCACAGCGGTATAATACTTTTACTTTAAGTATAGCTCCACCTAAGAATCATGCAGAGGGTGATACAGTGATGGTTGTTAAATTGACTTTTTTGGGCTTCATATGTTCTATTTTGATAGAAAACTAAAAAAAAATAACAGTAAAACATGTGTTGAACAAAATAAAACAATTACATATTATCATAGTTTTACATTTGTTCTAAAAATTAAAGTTGATAAACAGAAGTTGCAACTATGGCAACTCTTGTTTCCATGGCAACCAATCGTTGCAGTTTTTCAATTTCTTAAAAGGAGTGAAAATAACGTTTTTCAAATTCTATTTTCTTCCATGAACAGGGTCCTATGAATAACCTGTGTTTTAGCATTTGTTCATTGGACCTTTTTCTATAACATATTAAAAATAATCGTTTGTAGCCTCCTTTAGGTTTTTGGGGAAAAAAAGTTTTTTTTGTCTCATTTTTTTTTTTGTTGATATTTTTTTTTACAGTAAGCTAAATTTTTTTCATGTATTCATAGCACAATTCATTTGATTATGTCTTTTCAACTTCTATTATACCTAAACATTATAACAAAGTAAAGAAAACAGTTATTTATTTATAATTATCCTCAAATCAAACTACCAGTTTCCATGGAAACAGAACACAACGATTTTGAGAAATACACATTTTTAATAAATGTATGCTTTATAATGATAAAATAATTTAATCAAGCATTTTATTTCTGTATTTTTTCCATCAAGTATCATCAAATTATTCAAAATAAAGAAATTAGTTTCAAAAGTAAATTTGGTTGCCATGGAGAGAAATGACTAGATTGACAAATTTTCATTTCAAATCACCTAAACATTATTTGTTCAAACTATAATTTTCTGAATATAATCATTGTTAGGAGCATACATATTAAATATTGACTCTATACTTTCAAATAACCCTTTAAAAATACATGTATTTGTCACCCCTTTTCTGGATGTTAACTCTGACAGAGTGACAGTATCAGCTCAATAATAAATACATGAAAGCTTTTTAGATATGTTTACAATGCAGGGATAAAACCCTTTAAATTATTGAAAAATTTACTTATTCTTTAAAATTTTAGAGGAATTCCATGTGAACTTTGGAAAAAAAATGGAAGGAGGGGGGTATGAACCCCTTTCAATTTAGTAGTTATTGTGTCCCTTTACAATCATACCATACACACATACAGTTGACCTACTGTTTATAGTATCTGAGAAAAGGACCTAATCACCTTACTTAAACCTTGATCACTGATCCATGAAATGAGGTCATGGTCATGTGAACCCTCTCTGACAGACATGTAGGCATTACAAGGAACAACAAGAATGTGTCCAAAGTACACAGATGCCCCACACACACTATCATTTTCTAATACTGTGTTCTGTGGACTGAAACTAGAGGTCAAAACTCTAATTTGGCATTAAAATTAGAGAGATCATATCATAGGGAAAATGTGTGATAAGTTTCAAGTTGATTGGACTTCAACTTCATCATAAACTACCTTGACCAATAAATTTAACCTGAAGTGGGCTATGGAAGAACGAATAGACAGACGAACAAACTAACGCGTACAGATAAAAAAACATAATGTCCTAAGAAGGGCATAAAAAATCTTATTATTCACAATAAGTGAGAAATTCACATGACAAAACAACTAATTTGTTTTTAAAGTTTTTCAACACTAACCACCTGGTAGATATATATTTTATGGTTTTGCTAAACCATGAAAATGAGGTCAAGGAAAAGGGACACATGACAGAAGGAAACTTCTTAGCATAAGGTATCTGCATACAAGGTGTGAAGCATCCAGGTCTTCTCCCTTCTAAAATATAAAGATTTACACAAATAGTTCACACTGATGCAGTCAGATAGTAATCCCTAAGTCTCGCATAGTGCTACTTTTTTTTTCACTGGCAAGACAAAAACTAGCTAAAAGCATTATTTTCTTTATAATTCTATGAAAACAATTTTCACAAATAATCAATCAAGTCATTATCTTTGAAGGTGCAGACACACACAAGCCAATTCAGTCCCTTCTAACCAAACCACTTTGATTCCTTTTCCTTGAAGGATTAGGGCAAATAATTCATGGCCCAGTCCATAATGATCAAAACTTCTTCAGGCTTTAATTCATCCAAAAGGGTAGTATGTCAACGGTCTTGGTTCAAACATCTTATAACATGCTGCCGCCAAGACTTTATATGTGACTGATTATGTAGCTCATTAATGATTATGTAGTTCTTCTGGAAAATCTGCAACACAGAAATGAAAATATTAAAATTCAAATGTATTAGTGCCAATTAATGGTACATGTATGATCATGTTTAAAAAAAAACGTAAGCATGAAAATCATAGAAACCAAATGTCATAAACGATAAAATCAAGTTCAACTGAATTTAATTCATTCAAAGTGTAGTTCTATCTCAACATGCTCAACTACATTTATCATGTTGTATTTTCAAGAATTCATTTTGGCCAGACTGCCAACTGATTTTAAAAGATGAATAAGGAATGATCAGATTTTGTTTTCTATCATGGAGAAATAAACTACTCACTGTTGTACTTTGAGTAACTTGGAAGCGGGTTATGTACAAGTGTGTACAACAAAATTCAATTCAAATAAAATCGCCTGTTTAACTCAACAAGCATGTGATGTCAAAAACTTGAAACAACTGTTAAATTTTGTTTTTTAAAATTGAAGTACATATCTTCCTACATTATATTCTTGTATCAAAATGAATATTGCTCTGGCAGAGGAAATAATTGAAAAGTGAAAGTAGAAAGTTATAAATAGATTTGATAAATATAGAAAAATAAATAGTAAATTTATTTTTCTATATTATATATCTGATCCAAGTTTTAAAAAATTATGGGCTCTTTGAAGTGTTGTTGTCATATGCATTAGTATTTTAACTTCTGCAGTACAATAGTTTGAATTTATTGACAACCCTGTGTACCAAGGTACATTGTAACCATTTCATCAGACTCTAACTGAAAGTTACAAGCACATTGATTCACCATATATGATATAGAGTTACAAATGAAATTGGTCAAAGTTTCATATCAATGTAATTGAACTTTTTAAGCCCAGTTGTAATCTAATGTACTTTACATAATGTGTGTATAGAAATCAAAAGTATCAGTGCAGTAAAATAAAGGCATTGAAAAAGTGTACACAGGAGAACAAAAGTGACGCAGTCTAACATTTCTCTATTTGTTTTGACAAGTTAATTCTCTGATATAAGAATTAATTTATGAATATCTTTAAAAAAAAATATTTTTCTATTGATAAATTACCATGATTACCTTGTGTATCACTTTCTCCTTAACTTAAATTTCTGCTCAGGTAACTTTAAATGGCACTGGTAGCAGCTACATTTTAGATACCTTAAAAACAAGTTAATATTCATAAGATTTTTGAATAAAGCAAAACAATATAAATATTGAATAACCTTCATTCATTGTGAGCCTGTAATTCAGTGGTTGTCGTTTGTTGTTGTGGTACATATTTGTTTTTCAATCATTTTTTTGTACATAAGTTAGGCTGTTAGTTTTCTCTTTCGAATTGTTTTACATTTCGTCATTTGTCATTCGGGCCTTTTATATCTGACAATGCGGTATGAGCTTTGCTCATTGTTGAAGGCCGTACGTTTATCTATAGTTGTTAATTTCTGTGTCATTTGGTCTCTTGTGGATAGTTGTCTCATTGGCAATCATACCACATCTTCTTTTTTATATTCACACCTTTTCTCAAAAAAATATTTTTGTTTGTATAAGGCTTAATTAGGAATAGGAAGAAAAGTGAAATACAAATGCAATTCCAAGATTCCTTAAAGTTAGTCTAGCAACAGTAAAGAGTGATATGAAGTCAGTGATATCCACCATGATATATAACAAACAAAAAAACAGTAAATACAATGTACATGTATGTATTTCAGTTGCTCACTCATACTAAGAATAATAGTTTCACATAGGCATAATGTAATCATGATAATGAAGATTTCGGAAGTTTCATGCAATCCAAGGACTGGTCTTTGTACATCTGGAGTTGCATATTGGAGATATATTGCATCCATAAATCCCCAATATTCAAGTAAATGGCAAAAAAAAATAACATAAAAGATAACAAGGAAGCACACAAAGGTAAATCCATAAAAAGAAGCCTTAAAAGCCTGTAATGCATGTAATTCATATGTCCTTTGTTTCTGTACATGTACTAGTACTTTGTATAGACATTATTTTATTATACCAATCAGGGGCCCTTGTCAGGCAAGATACATAAACATCATAATACAATGATTATTATAAAACAAGTTATTAGTGAAATACACAATACATAATAAACAAAGTAATAAAGTGATAATATGTAGGATATAATTATGGTAAGAGGCATTGAGTGTAATGAGGTCAATTTAATATTAAAAGAATATGATATAAAGTTTATTAATAGGGAAATAAAAAAAAAAAGTAAAAAATAGAACCAGAAATATAGTATCTCATTTTGTAGTAGTTCTCCTCATGACCAGTGCACAGCAGTGAGGGACTTTTACATCACAACAATGCAGAGGTCATCAAGGGGAGATCCTTCAGAACTAGCTACAGATATGAGATTACTCCAATAGTATACATGTATATCATATTTGTTTTTTATTAAAAAATTAAATTGTATATAAATCAGACTTAGTTTTCTGTTTGAAATGCTTTACATTTGTCATTTCTGGGCTATTTATAGCTTACTATACAATATTATAAATGGATTTACTCATTGTTGAAGGCTGTACAGTGTTAATGACAGTAATCTACATGTACATGTAGAAAGTTGTTAACTTCTATGTGACTGGTAATTGATCTCTAGCATGTCTAGTAGAGAATGCTTCAGTGATTCCCTATATAATCAACCAAATTTTTCCCACGAGGGGAGGGGGGACTGGGGCCCCCTGGATCCGCCTATGAACTTTAAGGTATGATATTCCTAAGCTTAAAATATAGGGTACAATATAGGTAAGGAAATACAATGTAGGAAACACACATATTTTTTTTATTTGGCCTTAAGGACAGATCCCTCTGGTCCCATACCAACATGAAAGCTACTGGTTACATATATGAAACACAGTAAACACTTGAACAAATACCAAATACTACATGTGTACATAGAGACCCCCCCCCCCCCAAAAAAAAAAAAAAAGTAATCATGTTAAACCTACCACTTCCAAATATTTGTATTCCTTCAGGATCCTTTGGTAACTTGAAAGGCATCTGAATGTCTGTCTTTTGCCTTCATGGACCCAACATCCAAACTTTAACAATCCAGGTCCACACTCGTTTCAACAACATCCAAATGTCCATCCGTTTCCTCAAACTCCAGCTTACCAACTTACACATCCTCCACCAAATATTCAACATACAAGACAGCCGTTTCCTCCTCATTACAATGCCATGCATCAGCTCCCTCATGCTAACATACTTAACAACTCAAATTCTCAAAGAAATGATCGTAGTCACTATGCAGCTTCATCAACGAAAACTCATCCAACCTACCACAGGCAAAACGATCAAATGCCGAAAAATCTATCAGATGATTCGCACTATCAAGAAAAACCTGTTCAAAGAGAATTGAACAAAGCGAAAACTCAATACAAATCTGATCAAATGAGTTCCAAAATCAATCAAAAAGAAAGAGATGAGTATAACACCAACTCAATACTACTAGCACAAAGTATGGACACTGAACTGGCAACTAATACAGATGAGACGAAAAGTCCAAAGTTGCAAATGGACATTGAACTGGCAACTAATACAGATGAGGGGAAAAGTCCAAAGTTTCAAAGTGTAAACAAATCTTGTAAGGAAAAGAGAAATATAATTGCATTCACTGACAATTCTGTGACTACGGCTACTTCAACCAATATCCACCAATCACCATCCTGTGAAATAGAACAAACAAAAAAAGATATAGGAGCCTCATGTAGTGTCGATAGCACATCACAGAATTTTTTAGAACTTCCCGGCCTAAGGAAACAACCACCAGACAACAAATACACGTTTCTTTCTTACAGCCAAACCACGAGAGATTAAAAGTAACCACTTTCAATGTTGAAGGGGTCAAAACCAATCAAAACTATATTTTAAACCTACTTAAAGCACAGGATACAATTCTGTGTGCTCAAGAACATTGGCTTTGGGACTATGAGAAAGGAAAACTGGATGAATTATTTCCAAATTTTAATAATTACATAAGATGTCATGATACATTCGATCCTATTGTAAATTTCCAAGCACCAAGGGGACAAGCGGGTATTGCTATCTTATGGCCTAAAAAGTGGAACGATTTAATTAGAAAATTGCCAGAAGGCAACGAAAGAGTTATTGCAATCTCTATTCAGACCAAGGATCGACAAGTTTGTATTATCAACTCATACCTACCAACTTTAAATATAAACTCAGTAATAAAATATAGGGAAAATTTAGATATTATTAAATTCCTTATACAAAAGTATTGCTATATGGATTTCATAATCTGTGGGGACCTAAACGGAACCTTACTCAATTCAAGACAAAACCAACATGATAGAATATTAAAAGAGTTTGTCAAAGACTATGATCTACACCAACTAGATACTGATGATCACCTACACTCTTTCTTTCATCATAATGGAAAATCTACGTCTAAAATAGACTACATCCTGTCATCAAATAGCAACCTTATCCACTCTATTCAAACTCTCTCTCAAGATGCAATAAATTTATCAGCCCATGTGCCAGTCAAGGCTCTTTTAACACTTCAAGCTGACAAGCAAAAACTAAAAAAATCTTCAAATTTCAGCAACGAGGTACTGCATAAAACAGAATGGGAAAAATGTGTACCAACAATTTACAGTGAAGCAGTGAAAAAATCTTTAGACCAAAATAAAAATCGAAAAGTAACAACGGAAGACCAAACAACTAGTCTTATAGATGCAATTAAACAAGCTGCAAGGAAAACAATTCCGACAAAAACTCTGAAAATCCGCGGCCCAAGACTAAAAGTTTCGCAACATGCAAAAAAGTTGTTAACGATTAGTAAGCAGAAACACAGGATATGGGACCTACATGGAAGAAAGAGAGGTGAAGACACTTGTTTTTTGGAACTGAAGGAAGCAAAAAGAAATGTTAGAAAAAGATTACGGCAAGAGAGAGCAGTTGAATGTAAAGAATTTTATAAAAAACTGGAAAGTGAACCCAACTCTAAAAATTTCTACAGATTAATACGCAGAAATACAAACAGCACTAAAGAACTTGCTACAACCATACTATATGATGATCATGAACTCACCGATCCAGAAGAACAAAGGGAGGCAATGGCAAAATATTTTCAAAATTTAGCAACACCTAAGGACGATCCTGACTTTGATGAAAATTTCCTAAATAACTGCCAATTCCGCTGTGAAATTATAAAAGAAATCTGTAGCTTATCTGATTTCAGTTCAGACAAATTCAACCCCGCCGAAATTTCAGAGGCAATATCAAATCTGAACAATGGAAAGGCATGCGATGAATATGGGCTTTCTGCTGAACACTTCAAATCTGCTGAAGAGGTTGTTGTTCCGTATCTTGTTTCTCTATTTAATCAAATTTTGGCTGAGAAAAAAGTACCAATCCAATTCAAAACCGGTATTCTTAATGCAGTATGCAAGAAAAATAAAGATGACAAAATACTTGATAACTACAGAGGCATCACCGTCTCGTCAATTATTGGAAAAATTTTTGAACATGTTATCCTTAATAGAATACTTCCGAAATTAGATAAACAATCAGAATTACAATTTGGCTTCACAAGTGGCCTCTCACCAGCAATGGCAGCACTACTAGTCTCTGAATCGGAACTTATATCAAAAAATCAAAAATCTAAATTAATTTTTGGACATCTGGACTCACAAAAGGCATTTGATGTTGTTCATCATGATATTCTTCTCGACAAGTTATTTGACCAAAATATTGATCCAGATATTTGGGAAATCATTTTTGATATGTACAACAACCTTACCTCTAAAGTTAAATGGAAAAACGGATTTAGTAACAGCTTCCCTGTACGGCAAGGAGTCCACCAAGGAGGAATTCTATCCACCCATTTGTACAAACTGTACATTAACGACCTACTTACAGAACTTGAAGAGAATGGTATGGGCCAGTACATCGGCACAAACTTTACGGGATGTCCAACCTGTGCAGATGATATTATACTTTTGTCATCAACTGAAGAAGAAATGCAATCTATGCTAGATACATCTAAAAGATACTCAGACAAACATAGATACAAGATCCATCCAACCAAAAGCGTTATAATTAATAAATATAGTAACTCAAAAACAACGAAGAGTGAAGTTCAATTCAAACTCGATGATAAAAACATGCCATCAGCTAATCAAGGTACACATCTGGGTATCATAAGAGCAATTAAATACCAAAATAAAACAAACATCCAGGACAGAATTAGCTTAGCCAGAAGGACAGCCTATTCTCTTATGAACGTTGGAGTACATGGTACAAACGGATTAAACCCTAAAACTTCTTATATGATATACAGAGTATACGTTCTACCAAGGCTACTTTACAGCCTGGAAGTTCTGCCACTAAATAATGGGGACATTAAGTTGCTAAGAGATTTCCACGTGAATTTTTTGAGACAAATACAAGCTCTTCCCTCACGGACAGCAATTTCAGCAGTATACTTACTCTTGGGTGCGCTCCCCATAGAGGCAGAAATTCACAAAAGAGTTCTTAGCCTGTTCCACTCCATCTTTTCATCTAATAACGAGAATCTAAAAAAGGCTCTAGAGAGGCAATATGTCCTGCAAACACATGAACTAACTTTCCTTAACAGAGTAGCAGATCTTTTATACATGTATAATCTTCCTCCATGGACTTATCTGAAAGATCAATTGCCATCAAAGTTATCATGGAAATGCAAGGCAAGAGAAGCAATAAACAACTACTGGAGGGTGAATCTTCAAAGGGACGCCAATAGCAAAACAACACTAAAATTTCTCTGTATCCCTAATTTAGACATTGGAAAACCTCATACTATCTGGAATAGTCTACCACCAAATATTGGCGAACTCAGGAAAGCAACAATAAAAGCAAGGCTATGCACAGGGACATATATATTTCAATCACAGAAAGCTCGTTTCTCAAATATTAACCTTGATGCAACTTGCCCAATTTGTCAACTGGAAGAAGAAGATATCATCCATTTTCTCACTCGCTGTCCCGTTCTGGAAGGCATACGCAGAGAATCTCTAAGTGTTATCAAAAGAATTACCATCAGTAAAATTGGGCTAGGAAACTGGAATTCCAACTTTCACGAGAGAACTTGTATTGCCCAACTAATTTTGGATTGTCAGCAACTGGCTCTAAACAATATTCACCCTCGTGATAACCTTTTTCTTAATTCAATAGAAGAATTAAGCAGGAACTTATGTTATAGACTCCATCTAAAAAGAGTGTCTTCTCTTAATGTCTAGTTGTCATAAGGTCAGTGTGGTTGTACCGCGCTATACCTTAAACAACTATCTTCAACTTCATAAAATAAAATATGGCTTTTTTCTCCAATCTAAGGAATAATCATTTATGCTTCTTCGACAGTACAACTAGGTCAGTGTGGGTGTTCCGCGCTAAACCTAACATCAATCCTTTACACAGAATTAAATGCTACGAAAATCTAAATGTTTAAATCTTCATTTAATTTAGGTTAATATGGCTGTTCCGCGCTATACCTTCAATTGCTTTCTTTAACTCCGTAAAATGAAACAACCGAAACAACGTTTATCTTTAATCTAAAGTCATCATAAAGGTTTTTGGACAGAGCAACTAGGTCAGTGTGGGTGTTCCGCGCTAAACCTATCAATCCTTTACGTAAAATTAAATGCTGAGAAAATCCATGAAATTTTAGAATAACTGGTCAGTGTGGTTGTGCCGCGCTATACCTATAGTTGGAATAAATGTACATGTTTACCGTTAGCTTTAATACCCAGTATCTTCACATATATATATATATATATATAACAGATAGATAATGGCTATGCATAATTAGATCGCTTAGGACATATAAGCTTATATGCATGATTTTATTGATTTTATATCGCCTAGTAATGCTCATAGACAGATGTAGTAACTCCAGCATGTAGCAGGCAGGAAGCTGAAAACTCGTTATTTTTTACCTTTAAGTAACATTGTTTAGTAAATGTAAAGATTTTTAACTATAATGCATGCCCTGTAAATAATATTCAAAACTTTTTTAT